AAAAAAAAAAAAAAAAAAAAAAAAAAAAAAGGGATCTAACAGAACTCCAAAGGCGTAGAGAATAGCAGCAGGAGAGGCATAGCGCATCACCGTACCTGCAGTGGACCACAACTGGTCCTGCATCAGAAATGCTCTCCTGCTTATGGTGCACCTCCTCTAGAAAGTCTAGTACGCCACCAGGGTCACTTGGGACTCCATGATCAGGCCAAGTTCTGAAGTGATATTGCCAGACTGTTCTCTCTGTGTTCCCCTGGAAGGAAGATGCCAACACGTGAAAACAAAATCCTTCAGATCAAAACCTAACTAAAAGCATTTATGTGGCAAAGTTGAGTCCGATCCAAAGGTGGCATATCCAACCTGCTGCTCGGAATCCACAGCACCACAGCTCTCTTTAAAGGAAGGAACAAGCCAGAGTTCTTCCTGGCCTGACAAGTCAATCACACCACCTGCCTCTTTCTCATGCAGTTGTTGCCAAGAACATTTCCATTTTCACCTTTAGAAGCCGTGGCAAAGTTCTGCCTGAGGGCAACCAAAAACGAGGGACCTTCGCCTGTCATACTCGCCATTCATTCCTAGGGGCACCTACCTTACGCACTTCTTCCCACCCAGTTCCATCCCATGGACATGCCAATCTAATACATCCTGCTTATTTGCTTCTTGCACAACTCTTTTTGCACCCTGATCCAAATTGTTCTTTAACAAGGAAGTGCTACTTCCACGCTAGTTAACTGTTTCCTTCCTCATATTTTTTATTCCTTTCCCTTAAGTGTCCTTTCTACATACTGGACACACACACAACCATTTTCTTCTAGTGCAACCATCTCCATGAAAGGAAGCCAAAACCTAGCTAGACTGAACTGTGATTACTTAAAAGCATCGTCTCTCTTTCCAGATTTCCTCAAAGCTCTGCAGCCGTGCATCTTCTGCCAAAAAGTGCTTAGGTATAAGAATCCTCAATTATCCCAAGGACAAAGAGAAAGATGTATGGAACTAAACCTGGAGCTTCAAAGAAAGAGACAGGGCTCAATTTATTAATCTCTTAGTGCTTTTATTGATTCCAAAGAAACAGTCTATTTCTCCATTTTTTTTTTTTGTGATCTGCAACCTAAATGAAAAGGACAGAGTTACTAACGTACTTACTTGCCCAACTTTAGAAAGCTTAAGTTCTCTTAGGGTGTAATCATGTGCTGCGCTCTCCTTAACATTCCTAACACGCATAACACCATACTCCTTTAGGGAATATTCATCAGGCCAGTACTTGACGCACTTACTCTGCAAAATTTAAAAAAAAAATAAATAAATAAAAAGGAGCGATCAGTAAGGAGAAAGGCTGGTTCTCAAACTGGTTAACAAACACATTTCTGAAGCTTTCACTTGCGAATACATAGAGGACAATTACTAGCACCAGCTGGACAACTAGCTGACAAGGGAAAAGTACATTTCAGGGGGAAGCTTCTCTTCCCCATAACAAACACCGGATGATTTCAGACAAACAGGTACAGGCAAGCTCTCCTCTTAGCAGCTTTTGTGATCATCTTAGTACCTGCTTTGCCTCAGTTTCAAAACCCAAAGATTACAATACCATTACTGGTATCTCCACCCAACTATGAGTCTCAAAATACTGAGAATTTCCAGCGGAATGCTGTAGCTTTACGGGCTATTCTACAACCAAAACCCAACGGCCTGCAAAATAAATACAAGTCAAAGGTATAAGCAGTTTTTAGCAGAAATGAAACTTGGATGCTGGCTTTTTCATCACTTGGAGCAGAAAGGGCTAACATAGCTCTCTAATTCAATCACGAAAGCAACAAAAGAATTGCTCCCCGTGGCAGGGGACTGAAGCCTCCTGCGTCCGTAAGCTTTGAAATTTAGAGCTTTTGGTGTGCTGCTTCACCCTCAGATTATCTTTGGCCAGGGATGTATTCCATCCACTGAAGAACACGTTTGCCTATTACTACTTTCATTTGGTTCCTGTAAAAGCTCAGGGAAGGGCGACTCCTGCTAGCCTGCGAATGCAATACAAGTCCACACAGTATCAAATGAGGTATTACAGTGGGTATTTAGATGCAGCTTCCAGCAAGAGCAAACGCAGATCAAACACTGAGTACTACAGAGAAACATTTCCTATTTGCAGTTACTACTGCATATTTATCAGAAAACATGGCAACAAGAAAGTTCCTTCTGCCAGCACAAGATAGGGTAAAAAACGATAGAACACATGCTTTCCAGCCTACTTAGGCAGCAAGATGCTTTTCTGCTACTTTTGCCCTTCTTTCCCTGCCTTCTCCAAAAAGGTTCAAGCTAAAGAAAAGATGCTGATCTTAGCATATGCCAAGATAACTGGCAGTTTCAATACAGAACTCTGAACACAAGAGCAGTTGGTATAGCAAGCCTGAACAGTAACACGCGACGTTAAAACAAGCTTTAGTGTGATAAAGGGGATGCATGTGCCATCAGCTCAATGGACTGCCTCCAAAACACCACTATTTTAGTTTTTACGTATTTGCTGCTTCTACAGTGTATTCTAAAGCATATTCAGAACTCTGTGCAGATCTGAGATGTTTCATAGTTCCTCAATTCCTTAGGCAACATGCTCTTGAAGTCATCTCTGATGTAGATGTTTCTCTCCTTCCTGCAGATCTGAAAGCATCTTGGCCTGAGATAAAAAAAGCTTTTCTTTTATATCAGGACAGTTATCTGCAGTTCTTGGAGAAGTAAAAGAGGCATCAAGAAAAAAGAAAAAAAAAAATCAATGCTTACAGCACTGATTAAGTAATCAGGCATTAAAATGTTTTATACAGCCAGAGGACAGAAAACAGGCTTAGCAAAATTTGGAAAGAATCATGGAGAAACTGCAGAGGAGCACAGGCCATTCCATAGGTTATGTATAAAAAAAAAAAGTGTATTAAGTGTATTCAAGTGAACTCTTTCAAAACAACCCCATTATTTATTTCTGTTCTTCCAAGAGAAAGATTTAAGAGGAAAGCCACTGGAAAGGGGTAGCTACTCCCTCCTTCAGTTCACTCTCAGGAAGGAAACACAAATTATGCCCCTTTACAAGGGTGATGAATGGGCAGAAATTTACAAAGCCAAATAAAATCCACAAAGACAGAGTCCAATGGTTTCTACAAACACCACTAATGGCAGCTTTAATACCCAGATTAGGAAGACAAGCCCATAAAGTCTCCTGCTGTTTGTCTTCAGTACATACACACAGCACCTCTTTTTTCAGGGGCAGCGGTAAAGAACCCCCGCAGTTATCAGTCACCCATAGAAAAACATTAGCTATACTTTCAATTTAATTTATTTTTTTTTTCAAAAGCAACCCTCATCTAACAAGATAACAGCTTTCCATTCAAAAACAGGTCATCGGATTATTGAAGAGGTGGACAATGGTACATGGAAAAGGCAGAGAAAATTTAAAAAAAAAGAAAAAAGAAAAGAAACTGTTTATGAAACAGAAAAAAAGACCAGAAGCAACACATTCCAAAGATAAAACTATGCTATAGACAGGAAGTGGTACGTGATAGTTGCCAGAATATCAGTATTCAACTATTTCCTATGCTTTTCTGCCATATGTCATTAGAACCCAGAAACAAAGTAATAGCCTTGGATTTGCCAGAAGGCAGCGAATAAGACAAGATCTCTGCCCTCAAAAGGTAAAACAGACATTCTTGGGATACACCATTGCAGGAAAATTCCCTCCTTCAGAGCATTAAATACTGCCAGAGCAGCTCACAAGGGGCTTACAGATTCCTGAGGCGGAACAGGCAGCTGTCTTCAGGAAGGACAGGGCAGGCAAAGGACCTGGCTTTAGGAATAAAAGTGCTAAATCACACCTGGTTGTGGGGTTCCCAAGTAGGTACAGTTTCAGTTGTAATCACTAGCTCAGCACATAGTGAGAACATAATCAAATTCAAGCATAGGAAGTAAAGCCAGAAGAGAGAACAGCATTCTAGTAGAGTCTAGTAAATGTGACTTGAATGAGGTGAACTTGGGGCAGTAATTTTCACACTGTATTGTAGTTTTTAGGTAAGAAGCAATATCATCTAAATTCACTCTTATAAAAGTCCCACAAGTCTGCTTTTCTAGTAAAGCCTATACAAGCTTAATGCCATAAAATAAGTGGCAATACTTTTGTTACAAGAATAGAGTTATCCCTTCAAGTATGCAGAGTGCCATTTGGCTGCATCTCTCATTCCAGTGCCTCATTCCCTGAATAATTTTAAAATACATAGATTCACATTCAGTAGCTAAAATTGAATCAGTCAACCCTTAAAAAAGGGGAGGCCTGATGATATGATAGCAGCATGCCCTCAATTCCCACAGGCACCAATAAAAAAGGCCACTCAGCACCTTCCAAGTCTCCAAAGACATGGTGGCACACCAGATTTCAGCATATAAATCAAGATAACCAAGTCACTTTAGTCCTTGCCCACGTTCCAATATCATGATCTTTCCTAAGGCCAGTTTGAGAGTCTGTCTTTACCTTTCCTCTTTCAACTTCTTTTGTTGTCATAACAATAACTCGGGAATTCTCCTGGAACACCATCCTCCAGAAGTCATTCACTGTGTTCTGTAGGCAACCTTGAGTAGCAATGTAGCTTTTTTTTGGCTTGGAGTTGTTGCACTTGGTTTCAAACTCAGGCTAGAGAAAAAAAAAAACAATTTAACACATGGTGACAATTTGTCACAAGACTAATTTGGGTCTAGGTGAGTCTGCTGAAGAGCAGACATGGGCTGTGCTAACAAGATTCCTGTAGGTAGGAGGATACTTACCATAATAATATTAGCATTGATATAGTCTGAAACTGGCTCATTTGGGTCACCGTCATGTAGAACAACTCTGGTATGATCAACTGGAAGAACATATATGTATGTTAAGCACTTGCATCCTACAGGTATAAACACACAGCTCTTTTTAAATATCCTAGAGACAGGTACATTTCTTACTCCTACCAGAAGCTATTAAGTTACCAAACTCAGTAAATTAGCAGCTAGAATATTCAACCATTTGCCATTTCTTAAAACAAGTGGCCAATTCATAACAAGCTAGATCAAAATAAGCATTCACGACCTCTAGTAACTTGTGAGTACATGGACTTGCACTGAGTCAAGGCAAACGGCCGCTGGATTTACACCACGCAGTTTTGTACCACAAATTAATCCTCTTAAATTTAAGCATTCCAGTTTGCTGAGTAAGTTTAGGGATGTGACGCTTTTAAATGAAAGCTGAAGATAAAAACAATACTTGGGAATCAAAATATCGGTATCTACAAAGTGCAAGTACATGAACACAAATTGGAAATTGCATGGGCTAATACTGACAACATAAGAGGGGAAATTATCACTAAAGAAGAAAAAGCACGGTGGCGATTAATTAACCCTGTATTTACGAGCTAAGAAAACAAAGTGTAGAAAAGTAGCAGGCTTGCATTATAATGAAAGAAATCTATACTTACAGGGTAAAATGTTTTTGTATCTATTTTTGTTTTTGTTTTCTTGACGTTGACCTTCTTTACGACTATAGAGAAGTTTGCATTCTTGCTGCTGTAAAGTCTAAATGAAAACAGCACAAATAACTGGTTTTAACAAAAGCGGTATGGACTGTTTCACCAGCATCATAGCGACCCTTTCTCACAAAAATGATCATACTTGATTATAACGCCAGAGAATCAGAGAAAGAGAGGGGGGTACTAGATTTCTCCATTCAGACTTAATACGGAATGGCTTCCAAGGCATACAAAAAACACAGGAGCTTGAGTGACAAGGCAAGCTATTTTCCACCTGACAAACACCTAGGAATTCCAAGCTCCTTTAAACGACAAACTATCGCCAGCAAGTCTTCATGGTACTTGTTCTGACCAAGCAGACTCAAGCTGGCCCCTTAAGCTTTTAGCTGTGAAGCACTGTGCAAGGAAAACCTAACTGGTTAGAAGGGACCACAACGAAACTTTGCCTGTGGAAATCTGACCATCTCAAAAGGCACAGGAAATAAACCAAATACCCCAAGCAGCATTCTACAGAGCCGGTCCAAATAAACATTTATCCATCGGTCTTTCTCACCAAGCATAAAAGTTAGGAGTACTATCTCATTTCTCCTTTTTCCTGAATCAGGCAGGTAAGGGGTTAAAGAACTTCCACCAAACAGGCATTAGCTTTAGTACTGATAAAGATTAGGAACTAATGCATTCAAAACATTGCCAGCCTGCAAAGGAGTAAGGCACTGGATTCCTCTAGGCCTTACCAGCCGCCTTCTGCTCCTTCAGCTACAGCAAGTCTGCTGGAAAGCCCCCAAAACCAAGTCCCTGAGATTACGAAGGCTGCGAGTCTGCTGGAAAGCCCCCAAAAACAAGTCCCCGAGATTACGAAGGCTGCATTACAGCAACACCACAAGAGCGGATCCTTGCAAGCCACAGCCAGACCAATTCTAAACAGCCAAGAAGGAGGAAGGAACATGCAGAAAACCCAAAGCACCTCAACACAAGGAACTCTTTAAATATCAAGCACAGTGAAAAGTCCTTCAGCAGTTGGAAGCAGAATATTGGAAAGATATTCTTGTCTATTCCTCTGGAACAGAAGTCCACATGGGAATGCTGCAGTATTTTCAAAGGTATGGATGAGACGGGTAAAATGCCAATGCACAACCCACCACCACAGCCATATACCATGTTAAGCGCTTGAATTATTCTCTTCTACCAACACAAGACCATTTCAACTAAACCAGTACAAAATTTTGCCCAGACTTTCTCATATTACCCTGTTGGGGGGAGAAGGGGGGTGCATTAGATAACTACAAACAGGGTTATGCACAAGTCATCCTAGTGCAGAAACAAACGTGCATGGGGATTTCTCCTATTGGCAAGGAGCTAATTTCTCAGTGCCTGGTTCACAATTAATATGACAGGAACAGCAGCAATTCCATACTTCACAGCCACGTTGCTTAGTAGCAAATCCCCCTACTTGCAACAAAGCCCGAGGGACCAGAATCTCAACGTCTTTTTTTCCAAGTTTTAATCCCAAAAGCAGTACTGGCCCGACTAAAAGGAACGCTCAAGGCTTTGGAAGCTGCTCCCCTTGTTATTGCCACTGTTAATACTCTTGCAGAGATTGCTTTTACTTTAAAGACTGGGCATGTCAGGCACATTTCCTCACTTCTATTTCAATCTCTGTTATTACCTCACTTAGTGACCTTGGACAATTAGGCTCATCATCATTCTATGATTCTATGATCCTAAAGACAGGGAAACCAAAGAACAAAAGCAATATAGGAGAGCTGCGAGGTTTCATGCTTGTGAAGCAAAAGACAGAAAACATATCCCCATAAAGCACCGCTTGCTTCTACTAGCGATGGGTGAAACAGCACTTTGCAGTAAGCCACACTGCAAGAGTCTTTCAAGCACCACTATCACAGAGGACCTTAATATGATATTAACACTGAGTCACAGCCAGACGGAACGCCAAGCAAAAGAACCAAAAACTAAACTCTGCTAGCAGGTTAAAAAATGGAAACCATAGCTTCAAACACATCTTCACTTCATACAGTTAATTATTATTGCTTCAAGCATCCCTGAGGAGAGATCTGTGAGCAGCAACAACTCTAACAAGCCCATTAAGAGATGTACACAATGCAACAATAAATCTGAAACATCATCCTCAATTTCACTGCAACATCCAAGCATTAAGCTCACCGAACAGCCATTTTTCAGAAGCAAAAACATTACAAGGACTGTCAACATTTCTGTCTGGTGGTTCACGGGACAAGAGGTATGTTCTTAAATATGCCTGAAGACAAGTAATTTATAACTACCATCTGGACTGCCAAATCATAAACAGCACAGGCAGAGATCCATGGGCAGCCTGGAGTTTGTCCCCCTGCCTCCTGCCACCAAGGCTGACAGCTATAGCTTGCCTGAGGTGAATGAAAAAGCACGACACTAAAACTGCTAGGAGATTGCTTCATTTCCAAAAACACAGTTGGGGGGGGAAAAAAAGGTTTTGTGC